GAGGGGCAGATTGTCTTTTTTGCGCGCTTGTGCTCGGTTGGTGCTGCAGGTGCTGCTTGGGGTGTGCTTAGGGTGCTGTGATTGTTGCTGGCAATGCCTGTTTTGCGATGCAGTCACGGTGCTGTTTTGGGTGCTGGTCAGGGTGTGATTGTGGGTGCTGGTCAGGTCGCTGTTTGGTGTGCGCAAGGTTCTGTGGTGTGGTGGTTGCTGCTGGTGCTTGTTTGGCGACGCAGCCAGGGCGCTGGTCAGGAGGTGAGGGTGCTTTCGGTGGCTGGTGGGTCATGTTTGGCGAGGCAGTCAGGGTGCTCTTTTGACTGTTGTGGGTGCTTATTTGGAATCTAGCTAGTGTACTATTGCTTGTTTGTTTCTCCCCTGGGTAGCTTGGAAGGCGGACGGATGAGGCTTTTGGCTCTACCTCCTAACATGGAAAAGCCGGATAGACTCCTTTTTTGTTTGGTATGTTGTTTTTGCTCAAATGTTGAATTCCTTCCTAGTTGGGGCCCGGATGGTTGTGGTTTACTTTGCTATGCCACGATTAAGTTATTGGGATTAGGGGTCACAAGATCAACCGAAGCAATAGCTTGAACCTCGAAGATGATAGTAATCCGACACGCCCAACCCAGAAATAATTTTCTGATTTCCGCTGGATTTCCTCTGGTTTTCCTTGTTCTCCCTTTAATCCTAGAACCCAGCCCCCAGACGCATGAGAACTCTTTTTTTTAAAACTAAGCATGGTCAACCGCATAACAAGCTCCTCTGTTCAAACAAGGCCACGAAACAACTGGGTTTCCTTTCATCACACATTGATTCCCATGCCAAAAGGGGATTGATGTGGGAGTTGTCTAACTGTGTAACACATGACTCATTTGTTGTTTAACCCCCGTTACAATCCCATTGGAATTTAGGACTTCGCAGTGCTTCACAACTGGTGCGATCTTTCCGCTTCAAACAAGCGAACCCCCTAAAAGGGGTTACCTTCTTCTGACTTTGGGGCCGCTCAACACACAGCGTGCTTGGCAGGTTGGGTGAAAGCAGATGCATTGCATTCGTTTCAGTTTAGCTCTGATTAATCATTTGCCGCTGAAACCCATCAATGTCTGCAAAAAGGCTCACAAAGGTTGATCGCCCATGCTGTTTGGACGTACACTTGTATGCCTTGCATAGGGGTCTTTGTGGTGTCACCTCAGATCATCATCCTATAGCCGGTATGGGTGTGTCTTGTGGTGGTTTCCCATGTCCTCAACAAGAATCAGGGGTTCAATTCCCCAACCACCACTTAGTGGTTACCTGAACCATCCCAACCAGAGTTCCAACAAAACAAACGAGTAGCGTCAAACGAACAACGGTGAATCATCACAGAGTCGCTTCAAGCAAAAACCGAGACCCATATCCCTTCGCTGAGTCAAGATTTTCTGGACGCAACCAAAACCGAGAGACCCATCTCCTTCTTTCGGGAGCGAGTGCGCAACGAGTCTCTCCGGGAGCCTGGAGACGGAGCAGGGCCTCCAGCTGGAATCGCTGGAGGCGGCGGCGGCGGTGGCCAACCCCCGGCTCGCGGAGTTCTACGCCAACGCCACGAAGCACGAGGCGCGGGCTTGGATCTAGGCGCGTGGTCCCCCAGGATCGGGCCCTTTCACCGTTCTTTTTTTGGGGGAGGAAACCCCCCCATAAGAGACGATAAAAAGGGCACCCTTATTCTATCCTCTCTGCTGGCTAAAAAGCTGATATGTCCCAAAAGTAACCTATATTCCTTCGGGGGCCAGGAGTATTTGTCAACCCCGCCATACGAGCCAGAATGGGATTTTGTCGGGAATGCTGATTCTTCTTTCTTGGATCTAATAGAAAGGGGTGTTTCATGTCTGGCTTTCCCACGCCTTTGAACCCGTGCTCATGTTCTAAACGGTTGCGAATGGGTCAAAATTAAACCACCAGGGACCACAGGTTTTAGCCCATGTTTCCATTTGCCAGCAGGGTTCCATTTTGGGTACCTGTGTGTGACCCACAGCCGGTTTGGATTTGCGTTTTTTTTTAAATGGATTTCACCAGTTCTTCCCCCTGTTGGTTCTTGTTATAATACAGTTTTGATGCTCTTTGAATATCCTACAGGGTGGATCCACAACAGCCACATCCAAGCCGTTTTCTAGATTGGATGTTCCACCAACTTAGAAGGTTATAATCATGGCTATAATATTGGGGGACCGACCCCAGTTACGCAAACTAAAACCATGGAGTACCGATACAACCAACTACCAAGTTGGATGTAGGTTATAGTCAGACGAGCCTTGGCCCTTGACCCAAGTCGGACCCGGCTGACATGGACCTATTAAATGAAGATTATGGCTTCCCCAAGTCATCCAATTCATTGGGGATCATATCAGGTCCGACTTTCTGGGCCCGAGTGTGTTTGGTCCCACAAGGGACTAACCCCAGTTGCCCAAGTTACGACGGCGAAACAACCTATTTACTAGGTTGGTTGAGCATTGAAAGAAAAACGGGGGCGGGGAAATAGGACGGTTGGCCGATCCATTCGAATTTGTTTGTGTCAAAATAGATAATTGGACCTGAAAGGTGTTCCTTTCGGTTTCACGCAAAAACAACTAACCCCAAAGATGGATACCCTACAAAAGCACAGCCCTGTCTCTGTTTGAGTCCCGTTTTGGTTGTGGCGTTCCGCGAATTTAAAAGGAAATCCGGTGGATCCATTTCGCAGCACAAAGCCGATTTTCGATGGTGTTGTTAGTGCTGCCCGGGTTTGTGGAAATAATAAGACGTGCGTAAACATTTCTATTGCCCATTGCGGTTTGAGGGTGCCCTTTTGGAATTTATAACCTTTATATGGGTGTCCGGTAGCTATGCAACCCCTATATGGGTATGTGTGGCGTTAATGCTCGGTAGTTTCTTGTTCTTTTTTACCTTGGTTTAAAGGGAATCCAAAAGATAGCCAAACATTTTTGGGGCCCCCACACAAGCTGCAACAAGCTCACCCACGAGGCTAGGGCTGCCTGGACCAGCTTTCAGGGAGGGTGCCAGAGATTCGGTTCCAAGGTGTTTTCGGGTGTTGGGGATACCTTATTTAAGAACAAACCACTGAGTCAACCTTTCGGCCTTTACTTTCCCCTTGGTCCATCTTTATACGGTTGTTGTTGGGAACCATTTTACATTTTTGCTTATTGTGGTCAACTGCAAAAAAAAAAACGAATTTTTGCTCCCCTTTCAACGTCAACCAAGTCTAGTCATGACCCCAAAAGGTTCCTACGGGGCAGCTCTTTGGAGCTGTCCTCGAGTCCTGAGGACCTGTCCGTTTTCGCTAACATCATCATGGGCGACTGGATCGACCGCTCTACCGACTTCCTGGACCGGTCGGTCGACCAAACGCTCGGTCGGACGGCCGGACGGCGAGCGCTCCGAAGTTGGGTTTCGAAGGGCTCTGGTACGCTTAGTGGGAACCCTTGAGCTCCCGGATTGAGGGAAAGAATGGATAAGCCTTCAACTGGTTTACAGACTGTTTGTTTTTCAATGGAACCCCGGATTAATCAACCCCAGTTTACGAACAACGGGGTGTGTTTTGGGGAACAGTGGGGATTCCCACTCCTGGCGGGGGAAGGACCCCCCTATTAGGACGGGTTTGTTACTCGGGGGTGAAAACGACGCGTTCCCCCCAAGGTTGCTCCCAAACCTTCGTCGCACTTCCCAGTTTGTGAACATGAAACCCTAGGGGCTACATTCGACTTTCAGCCCAAGTAACCAAGCGAAGTGGTCCCAAGCTTCGTCGCACGGTGGCGACGTCCGGAGATTTCCAATCAGCCTCAAATTTTGGGTAAAGAAAGATCTCGGAACATGCCCCCAGACCTCATCAGCTTCCATGTGCTTAGAAACATGTGCTATGTTTTGCTCTTTTTTTTCTCCGTGGGTTTAAATGGAATCTACCACTACTGGACATGGTTGTTATTTTTTTTTTCCAGGGGGCTTAGCAGCAGATGGAAAGTTTGGTACATGGTTGTGTCAACCTGGCGTGGTTTGGTAGGCACCCTGGAGTCTCCAGCCTCAAAAAGTGGGTCCCTGGACTTCAAACTCTGACATCGAAGCCAGGAGGTGGCGCTCCGCGCCACGCTGAGCCGCGAGCTGGGCCTTGCACCCGACGGCGGATCCGGCGGATCCGGCGGATCCGACGGAAGCGGAAGCTCCGCCGCGCGGCGGAGCCGCCGCTTCGCGGGGCTGGTGATTCTGGTCCTCGGGCGCCTCGGCCGCGTTGAATGTTGACATATTGGCAGCGGGTCAAAAGGGGCCCAAAACGGAACTCGGGCAAATAGAACCAAGGACTAAGACCTGCGGTCCTCTGGTGGTTTAATTTTGACCCATACCCATATCACAAAAATCAACCCCAGTTGATTGATAGGAGAGTGGGGGCCCCCCCAAAAGTGGTCTGATTGGGCCAACCAAACTAATAAACAGGGGTTTATTCATGGGGGGTCAAGATTAGTCGTTCAGTGCAGGGTGATGCGGGTCTGACCGTACCAGTGCACTAGGCCTTGCGGAACAAAGGCGTTTCCATTGAACCGACCAAAAGCGAGCCTCGCCGTTCCTGTTGGCGAGCGCCTTGGAAAATGTTGGACGGGTTACTACAGAAAAATTGGAGGGGGTGTAGACATTTTGGACGGGCTACAGAAGAAAATGGAGGGGGTGTCTCTAAGACTCTACGTTCTCACTAAAAGCAATGCGCTGCATGTGAAGAATTGTGTTCTTGTTGCATTCTCTACGTCCCTGGTGAGTGCGCAAAGACTGGTGAATCCCGTCTAATAAGGGGTCCCTTGTTGTTGAAGTTCAACGTTGCCGGTTTCAACGTTTTGGTATGTGTGATTCCAGATGTTGTGTCAATTCTTTTGGCAAAGCATGACTTCAGTGCTACAAACGCCACTTGCCTTCGGGACAATGCGAATCCAGGACATATTTCCATGGTACTCGCACTTTTTGGTCAACCCAGCCCGGAATTGTCTAACAAATCATGTCAAAAAGACAACCACACAAATCATGACAGAGTACAGGCGGAGACTCCGAACAACTTTCTAGAATTAAGCCCTGGATGAATTATTCGTGCCAAGTAAGGATTCCTGTTTGGCCCGAAGAGTTCGCGAGGCTTTTCCGTGGGATCTCTGAGCACCATTTGTCCTATAGATTGTCTTTCCAGGTGCCCAAAGTCTGGGTTTGTCTTCAGTTTTCAGCGGCCTTCCCTTGTGGGTTCCCCTGAAGTCAGCCCCAAAAAGGGAGCCAAATTCGTTAGCGAGCCGTTCCCCTTTTCGTGGGTGGGTTCCTTAATTATGAGTTGTTCAGCCCCAGGTTACCAACATCTGTCGGATCACGAAATGGCGATTCCTGCGCAGGTGTGTGGCCCTGATGGCACCTGGGCATACGAGAGTCTCGAGCGTTTCCATCTTGTTCAGACATTTGTTGACCTTATCTCGGTTTACGCGTTATGAGGTTTCACCCTTCATGGCGTTACATCTCTCGAAGCCAAAATTGCACGCGTCCAGGAATGAACGCATTTACTCTGAGTGAATGTTCCAGACTGCAGGCCAGTGAGTAACAAGTCGTGCAGATCGATCTTTGTGTAAAGTTCCCATGCCAACGGAAGTTCCTCTCGGCGGTATATATGCCTGGCTGGTCACCAAAAAGGGTGTTGGCTCAAGACCGACGCCGAAATTCAGAAGGCTTTCTGCAAAACCAATCAGGTTTGGGACCCTTCAGGGGTGCTCCTTTGGCTAAAAGCTGGCATGAACCTCAAGTCGGTAGCTTCCTTTTTCGTGGCTGCACCCCCAAACGTGCCGATCTGGATGTCGGAGCTCTGTTCATATCAAGGGCCCTTGGCACAGTCCTGAAGAAAAGCGCTGCACGCAGATGAATAGGCTTGCTGGTTCTCTACAAGGAATGAGTTGGACTGCCCCCTTTAAACAGGCGCTTGTGGTTTCTTTCAGGGAATCCCCAGTTTAACCTCCCAGATTCATTCTCTGAGCACCAGCCAAGTAGGTAAGCAACGGGTTTTCGCAAGAAGAAACAGTCACCACTTTTTGGGGATCCTTGAGTGGTTGCACCGAGTTGAATGCCTCATTCAAGCCACTGTAGTACATAAATCGTACGGCATGTTTGTCCTATCCCACACGCAGTCCTTTTCTACATTATTTGGGCCCTTGTAGCACTTACTAGCTTGTCTCGCACATGTGTGAGGCTGCTTTGATCTGCCCCTTGGCTGCAAAATGGCACTGGGAGATCCTGTGCAGTAGATGCCAGATGAAGTGGCAAGAATCGAACTGGTCAGGGGTCAGTTTCCTCACGCGTGTGAAGCCTCACTCGAACTCTTTTCTTGGCAAACGACCAGTTTAGGGCCCACATTTAGTAGTTGATTCACGCGCGAAATGTTGAGATGGATCTGGTTGGCAGGGTCCAAAGTGTACCAACAATCATGGAAGTGGAAAGTCGCGGAAAGTCGTCTCTTCCAAAACCCTCCCATCAGTTCAGGGAGGGTAAGCCAGTGGCCGGGTACCAAATTGCCATTTGCTTTTCCTAAAGTGAAGCCCTCAGATGGTATTTCAGATAGCTCAATGACGCCGGTACTTGGCAAAATTCCCTTTGCAGCACCTCGCCTAGGCTCCAGTAGCTGGAAGCCCTACCATCAGCTTGCAGGAGCCTACGCCAGGTTACCCCCACTCACTTCCTGAGTTCATAGACTTTATTGGATGGTGTTATTGGGGTCATTCCAACTCATTCTGTGCTGGGACCAGCAAGTTGTTTGGGCTTGGACCATTTTTGTAGACAATCAAACGTTTGGTTACCCTCCCTCCAACAATCATGGAAGCTGACAGGAGGGTGTTGAAAGACTGTTTTCCTCTTGGGGAAGCCCCCTGTCCACTTCCATGATTGTTGGAGGGAGGGTACTTGTTCTGGCCAATCCACTTGATCGGACGTGAGCCTGGCTGTTGTGGAGTTGGTAAAGCGGAAACCCTAAGCCACCAAACCACCAAGCCAAACCACCACTTACCGGGAAGCTGAAAAAATGGTTGGTGTCCATTCGCCCTTAAACCAGCAAACCTCCAATCAGGAAGCTGACCACAGATTGGCCCGTCGACTCCTCCGCAGTTTTCTCCCTGCGCCGGCCTTCGCCCTGCGCGCGGGGCGCGGCGAGCCGCCGGTTCTCGCCCAAGCCCTGGGCTGTGTCCCACGTGCAGCTGGCGGACCGCAGGTGAGAGGCGAGGGCCTCAGATGGCCTCAGTCTCCATGGCTAACAGGTTGAGGATCACTACTGTTGACCCAGGATCTAAGTAGAACCCGTCCCATTAAGGGGGTGTTTGAGAAGTGGTCTGAGCCCCCACTACAAGGCGACACCCCCCTATTAATCAACCAGGGGTTTATTCATCCGGGGTTAACATTACCCGAAATCACGGGCGCATGTTTTTCATCTTCGGCCATAGAAAGTCAGGAGGGAGTTGAAGGCTACTTCAAAACTCGTTTATAGGCATGATTATGGGGGTGCGCTGTGAGCGATTAATTACTTGTCTGGCTGAAAAAAAAGAACAACCGCTCTCGACTTTTGGGCAGACCGAAAAAGGTAGGATATAAAACCGAACTGCGCTCGGATTGTAGGGCATGGCTTAGGGAAAATCAGCCGCCAAAGGGTTCAAAATGGCCATGGGTTCATTTGTGCGCCTAGACATTCAGCTTTGACTTGGGTTGTAAACAGCATATCTTAGGCCTGTTCCACATCATTTTCCTTTTGGTGCTGATGTTTTTTTTTTTTTTTTTTTTTTTTTTTTTTTTTTTTTTTTTTTTTTTTTTTTTTTTTTTTTTTTTTTTTTTTTTTTTTTTTTTTTTTTTTTTTTTTTTTTTTTTTCGTTTTTTCTCATCCCCGGTTGGACATGTAAGGAACTCCATTGTTTGGGCGCCCGATGGCAAAGGATGACCTTTGCGGGCGGTGAGAAGCACTGGGCGTTGAATGCTTGTCAGGTCTTGCCCAATGAACTTTAGCATGGCCAACCCTGCCTCACTTGCCCAACGCACGAGCACAAACATCCAATCTCTAAGGGCCAAGCCACAAAGTGGGCAACCCGGGAACAACAACTCGGACGCCTGAAACGTGAACTGAATCTCAGGCTCCGCTACTCACTGACCTGGCCGGCTTGTTCCAAATGAACATATTTGAATTATTTGGCCAAATGGAGGTGTTCCCTGCGATGTTATCCGACGAATTGCGGATTATGATTACGGATCCCCCCCAATTTAAGCAACCCTTTCCTTTGGCTTCGCCTTGGGCTTTGCGTCTTGGCTCCAGAAGGTTCAACTGGTGGGAGGTTGTGGCTGCCACGTAATGCTGCAGGCCACCAACGCTATGTCCGAGCGAGCGCGGCTTACCTGAAGTCAAGGGGCGCCCGTGTGATGAGGGCGACTGTGGCTCATGTGGCCTCCGGACTATGGTGGACTCCAGCACCTATTCATGATAGAACACCCTTTTTGGGCCGCATGTTGGTTTCCATGAGACTTTCAGCTGTTCAAGCCCAACTAGTCAAACCGTTTGGCTTTCCTTTCTTGGGAATGAAGAAGCTCATTCGATCCCAGAGGGCCATTTGGCCAAATGACCCGCTGGCGTCAGCGTTTCGGCAAATGTTCGCGGAGCTACCCTCCCAACTAACATGGAAGTGCACACACCCCTGTAGAAAGACTACTTTCCTCTTGACAAGGGGCTTTGTGCACTTCCATGTTACTTGGTGGGAGGGTAGCTCTTGTGAATTTGGGGGCGTTTGTTAGGTGAAGAGCCTACCCCAGCCACTGGATACCGAGAGAAGCATATTTTAGTTCTTCTTTAGCTTCCGGGGCAACGAGGGGTGAGCAGTATGTGACCAGACTCAGAGGAGCTTATCATAGCCCCCTACCCACCCGAATGGTTCGCAGCACCCTTCTAAATACCTCTTCCTGGCCTTTTTAGTGATTTTGTTGGTATAATCCGCCGAAGCTTTCGCAAGGCTGGCAAGAGCTTGGGGTCGCCATGAAGGATCCTTAAATTGCAACGCACTCGAGCCCCCGCGCTTTGGACAACAGAAAGACCCTCAGGCGGTGAGTACAGAGCCTTTAGGTGTCCTACCTGAAAACGACCCACCGGAAAACTGCCCGTTCCCCTAGGGGCCCTTGTCAGGTTCTAAGGCCTTCAGTGGATTGGACAAAACGGCCACCTTGTTTTGGGTGACTTGAATCCTAAATCCAAGCCAAAAGGCAAACAACTGTTTGGGCACTTGGCAGTATGGAAAACAACTCCGATGGCTCCATGCCGACATGCGGAGGTGGCGCATCGGAGCGCTGACGCCTTTCGCTGCCAATGCCAGAGAAAATCGGAGTGCAGGGTTGGTTGCAGAACATTCTGAGCTCGGTGCTGAACAACTTAACTTGGGTCTCCCCCAAACCCATTTTAGGGTGGACTAAATATGAAGCAGCAGCAGCAGAAAGCATACATGTTCTGTGTACCCCAGACGTGGCCCTTGCTGATGATGTTTATTTCCCCGGCAAGGGAAAGCACAAGGAAACTCCAAGGAAATACGTGACATAAGGAAGCCGAAACTGGGTTGACGTGGTTTTCTTCCAAACCCCTATTGTTCGCACCCTTTAAACAAAAACACCTGACGCGTTTCGTTTTTAGTCCACCCTTGGACTGGGGGTCGCACCCGGGAACGTTCCTCTCATTCATTCGGGGTATGCGCCAGATGCGTTGCCAACATGTGGACCCGAGGAAGAATCCGATACGCTCCACAGCGCATCGTTGACGAAAAGTGTGTATCAAACAAGTGGCCGGGCTGTGACAAAATGCTCGAGCATTCAATGTCTGCCTTTGAAGTTCGACCGGAAACGACTTGAAACGAAAATTCTGAGCCCCAGTTCAGTGACCCTGATAGAAGGGAAGTTTTGACTTATTCAGGCTGATTTGGGCTCCCTCCCCCCTTTTCCCCAGCCCCCATGATTGGGGTTGACTTCTTTGTGATGCCCTCAAATCAAAGGAAACGAATTGTTGCCATTCAAACCGGGGTAGATGGAAGCGACAGTGGGCAAAAATCCAAATATGTCGAGTGGTGGCAAATTCCCTTCAAACTAACAGAGGGAAATATCACCACCTGAGCTACTGGGTCTCAGCCCTGGTTGCGGGGTCCAATGAAACTCGTAATTCTTCCTTTGCCTTTTCTGTGACACCTGGAGTCTCCATGACCGTCATTGCCCCCAACTTTTTCAGGTGTGGGCCCATTTTTGAGTCAGACGGAGATGAGGTCGAGGTCTGGGGCATCACCCAATTCCGGGCTGAAGGCCTTCAGCCTTCAGCCTGCCTTTCGGATGACTGAACAAAACACCCTGCTGCTTCCAGCGCAGCTGGCCCCCAAAGTGCGCCAACAGCGGAGATCCTAAAAGGTCATTGTCTTAGCGCACCCCCAGCAAAAAGTGTTTAACTTTTTTCTGGTTAAAAGGAAGTATGAAGCCAGGAAAGCCAAATATGACCCAGGCAGCTTTGAGGGGTAGCCCATTGATGGTTATGTGGACGTGGGGTTGCTAGAGTAAACGTGAGCTGTGGCCTTGCTGCCAGATGCCGCTCGATGAAGAAGGCCCTGTCCACATATATATATATATATACATGCGGTTTGCAGCCATGCCCATATGTATATTCTATATATATATACACATACACGTTTATCTAGAAAGGGGTTCGGATGTAGCGTCTTGGGGGATCCACCCCTGTAGGATATCAAAAAGAAACACAGTACTAAAAAAGAACCTACAGGTGGAAGAACAGGTGAAATCCACCAAAAGCGCATCCAAGCCGGTTTCTAGAGTTCTTCCCCAGAATTAGCTCCCCTTTTTTTTTTTTTTTGCTTTTTTGGGGTCCCTTTGTTTTCCACAGGGTCTGTGACAAACAAGTGTCACGGACAGACAGAGCCAGCAACGGCTGCGACAGAGCCTGTGACAGACAGATATGGCTGTGGGTCAAAACCAATGGCACCATTTTGGGGCAGGTGAATTCACCACCCATTTTAGAACCCATTTTAGTGAGGATTGGTGCAGAACGGCAAATCACATCTCCAGGCAGCAAGTAGCTACACTTTTCCAGGTTGTGCCCGGTTGGTTGCGCAAGGTTGCGCCCGGGTTGCGCCAAGGTTCGGCCGAGTTGCGCGCAGCTCATGCTTTAAAATTGCTCTACGACATGACAAGTGCCCACTCACAGTATGATAGCCCAACGACCTAGCCGTTCTGTCACAGTGCAGTCAGTTTCATCCTCGAGTTCCAGCAGGTGCACAAGAAGAATCGCTAAAAATATAAGCAAGCGCTCGTGCTGCCAAGAAGTGCCCGTGATGCCCCAAAACATGTCAAAGTGCCCTGTGCACATTTTTGTGTATCAAAGGCTGGTGAGTTCCAATAGTGGGAGGATAACGCTTTATTACGGGGCGAAGTCGATTGGACCTTGTCGTTTGCATGATTTGGGCTGATCAAAGGGACCTCGCAAAGGTTGTGGTTTGCCACCTTGCGCGTGACTAGAATCAGAAACACTTTAACAGGGACATTGCCTTTGAGGGAAGTGCCGGGAAGTGCGCTTTCATTTTTTGGGGCACACCCCCCGTTCAGTAGAAAGAAAATCCTTGCCCGGCAGAAGCCTTAGACCTTTTGGCCATAGAAGGCTTCCTTCCCGAGCTCGCGTGGACCGCTCGCAGGAGTTGACCTGATTCTGGAGTGACCGGAGGGGTGGAAGGCATGAGAGAACGCTTTGGACGAGAGGGTTCCTTGACAACCGGTGGAAGGGCGCGATGTTTCCATTGAAACCAAGCTGGCACAACTACCCCCAACAAACACAAAATCACATGTCTGAGCCTTTCAGCGCTAATGCCCGGAGGCAACGTGCAAAGAAACGTCGTTCCTCCATCCGCTGGGCGTGGATTGCTGAAAGTGTGATGGACCTCGGGCAGGGAAGTCGATGCGGGGCTCATTTGGGCGAGAGCTGATGGCAAGCTCCATTGGGGCTGCGCCAAACCCTTGCATAAAGACCTATAGTTTGAACAGCCTGCCTTTGGTTTCCTAGGGGCCCGCCAGTGTTCAAATGGTTGTGTCAACCATTTGTTGGCAACCCTCAGGCCCTGAGGTCGTTTCTTCTGTTTTTGCTGGGGTTACCAATAAGGACCGAAGCGGTGCTGTCCTCTTGAAAAATATGTCTTGGAAGGGGTTTCCCTTCAGCCCCGAAATGTGCTTTCAAACCCATTGTCCATGGCTGCTGGAGATTTGGGACCCAAAGCCTTCCTATTCTGCATGGGTAGTCTGCACTTGTTCAACCAAACTTAGTAGTATGTAGGTTAGAATCACGGTTAGAAGGGGTCTAACCCCAGTTACACAATCATATTTATAACATGCCTACTAAGTTGGTCGAACAGCCACGCAAGAAATTCCCAGCTGACGTTCATCACACGATGCCGATCCAGCCAGCCTGGATTGATGCAAATTGATGCATGAGAATTGCGACCCACGCGGATCGGCCTCAAACGTCCAAAACGAATCGACCTTTTGACCTTTGGTCTCAGTGTGTTTCATCGTTAGCCCATGTCCCAAAAGGTGATCACCCTTAACTTCGTCATTTTGGCGAGCGAGCCTGAACTTTTTGTTTTCCAAAATAACCCACATTGTGGTTTTACCAGGTCCTTTGATTGCAGCGAGAATTGCAGTTGCAGGCAGCTACCGTGATCCTGTGAGCGCAGGGTTTTACAAGCCCATTGCAAACAGCCCACATGATTGGGGGTGTGGGGGGGACGAGCTTAGGAATGTGATTCGGGGACCCAGACGTTCCTTGCGATTTTCGGCGTTGGAGTTATGGAGTTTGCAGATTGTTTCACGGCCGATAGTTCCCCAATGAATCGGGACCTAGACCTCGGGATTGACTAATGGCCGTCGGGGCAAGGAACATGGACATTTGGTTCAGAGGGTTAAATGGATGTGAAATCCTGGTTAAATATTTCATATTATTTGGTTAAATCCTGCTATTCAGATGGACGTTTGGTTCCCCTTTTTGTAGAGCCCTACCAGGCCCAGAAAAGCAGGATTTCCCATCGTCAGGTGTATATGTATATGCATGTACCTTTGTGCATACGTATTTGCAATCACAGGTTGATTTCAAACGGGTGATAAACAAATTTCCCAACAAAATCTTCGGGCTGCATTGCCTTGGACCCTTTGATCCTTTTGCCATGGTTTCACCCACTCAGAGTGAGGTCCTGAACAGGATTATTTTTGATGAAATTGACGGGAAGGGAGCACTGGGAGGGCTGGGATGCTGATGATGCTGCTTTGGGAAGACAGTTTTCAGTGACCAAATTCACAGGAAGTGACGTTGGGAGGCCCCCAAACAAGCTGGGGAAACGTTTGGAAGGGCCCTGACCTTTCGCGATCCTTGCCAACTTTTGCGTCAATCCGAGCCGACGATTTAATCATCGGCGAAATTGCCGCGCCGGCAAATGTCGGTGCCGAGGTTTGGAACAAAGCGCGTAGGGCATGAATGTTTCAGGTTTGGCGACAGTCTTACAACGCTGCCCTTTGCTTTCACGTTATGGTTAAGGTTGGATGATGGTAGACCATGTTTGGATGTTCGTAGGGCTGATCAATGGCCAAGCAAAGGCGAGTTGCTTGACTTGGTTTACTGGTGTCGGGTTCCCATTTTACAGGCATCCTAGGAAGCGAGAGTTCCTTACCTGGAGGGAGCAAACATAACCTCTGGTTTTCTAGTTCTGGATCCCTTGTGAACATGTTTCCAGGGTGAAGCAGTCATGGGGATGCCTAGCTTAACTTTGGTGTCGCAAAAAGAAAACTATTTGCTACAACCGGTGCTAATTCTCAAAGACGCGACAAGTTTCGCCACAACCCTCACTTGATTCTTTATGACTTCCTTTCATCTCGAGAGAATCCCCTTGTAAAGCGTGTGCTTTGGCTGCACCCTCAATTATTTAAGAAACACTGATACCCTTGCTGGTTCTCGGCGGGGAATGAGGGAATGACCCCGGCTGAACCATTCCTTGCTGCCTCTAAGGGGATCCCCTTCCAGTTTATTCCCAAAACCTCAACAGGATTGTCAGTATTCGTCGGATTTTTTCTGTCCCCCTGAGAATAAACGGTCCCCCGTCTAATCAAAAAGCACCTCGGAGGTCTTCTATTGTTAGGGCCCCCCGGTTTTTGGCCCATGCTGTTTCACATTGGGTTGTTTAGTATTGGGTTCCAGTTGGAAAAGATGGACCCCTTTGATTTGCAAAAACAGAGTTCATAATGCAACCGTAAAGTAGGAACTTTATAGAGAAGGGACCCTTTCAATTTGCAAAACAGTGATCAAAATGCAACTTTTGAGTAATACCTATGAAGGGAACCAAATGAAGACCCCAACAATAAACACCTCTCCCGCTCAGGTGGCCCCTAATAAGCACATTTGGGGAGTCATTTGGTTGCCAGAAAGCTTCACATTTGGTTTAGTATTGGGCAATTAGAATTCAGGATTGGCAATTTTGCGGGTCGCCTGGAGGGGATTTTATTATTGGGTGTCCATTTATAAATGGGAAGAAGGGATTAAACGCTACCGACTGACAATCAAGTTGTTCCACTGAGGCCACAGGCTTGCGGCTGCGCTGTGAACAGCTCTGAACCCCAGATCTTCCGGGGGGCAAAGAGGTCGGAAGGGAGGCTGGCAGCCGAGGGTTTCGCGGCGGCGGCAAGACCCTTTGTTTTTTGTTCTTCTTCTTTTTGTTGTTTCCGGACGAATCCCAGGGGGGCCGTTTCCCAAAAGGATATTCCGAATACAAATGAGGTGTTGTTGGATTCCGTGCGAATCTGAGGGGAGCAGTTGTTGTCATTATTCTGGAGGGAAACCAGAAGGGAATAATGAATGCTTTGTGAATTTGTCCAGGTTCTAGCCGTTCAACACCAAGTTCCCCAGTGTAGTTTGTATACACCCCAATGATATCTAGAGCTTCCAGCAACTGGCATGTTCTTAGCAAGGGCTACGGTTCCGTGCCGAGAATTTTTAGCATTTGCAGTTCGTTGGGAAGTTGGAGGGGTTGTGGCCATATTCCCAGCCACCAATTTTAGATGTTTGGATGACCGCACATAAATTCATTTCAGCCACAAAAGTTCTACCAAGCTTTTTCTTGGGCAGAAGATGGCTGACCTTGCAACTGTGGTGCAGCATCACTTCCATTCAATTCCGGCTGTTGTGCCGGGGAACTCTTGACCCTTCTTTTGACCCTTAGACTTGCATGGACAAGTCTGCGTTAAAGCTTCCCCGCCGCCCACCAGCAAACATGGAAGTGCGCGGACCTCGTTAGATGGAAGTGCGCAGACTCGTTTTGTTTTCCTTTTTCTTGGAAGGCGGTTGGCACTTCCAGATTGGTTGGAAGGGTTCACAGGAACAACCCGGGTAATTTAAATGAAGGATGGGGATAGTACCCACAACTTCGTTGTTTGGTGCCCGGAGCTTTGTTTAATTCGGCAGTAGGACAGAATTTCACGTGGGCTGGCCCGGGTTTGGTTGCATAGAAGTGACAAAAGAAACCACCAGAATGTCCCAAGCCGGTTTGCAACCCAATGACCCAAAGGTCCCATGGTTTCTGCGACTGCGGCGGCCAGCAGCAGACACCCACACCTGCAATTGTGCTTGTTTGTGATCATGAAGTGCAGTATGTGCAGTGTTTGGTGTTGAGAGGCGCGTGGGCAATTTGCGCCTGTTCAGCAGTACGTTTTGTGTTGTTTGCATTATGCTTCTTCCAAACTGCAGTACCAGCGCGTTGTCTGTGGGATCTCCCCCCCCCCCCCCACCGTCTCTATGAGGCTGTGGCTCAAATAAATGTACCAACATTGCCCCCTTGGTAAATAGAACCAAAGACTAAAATCTGCGTAACCCCAGCTTCTTCATTTTGAGCCACAGCCTTTGTACCCCCCCACCCGTCTCTGTAGGGAGGTGCCTTGATGCTCCAGCCCCTTGGTTCGCGGGCGCGCCTGCGTGGCTCAGCAAAGAGCGAAAAGCTGGACCGATCTTCGCACAGGCGGGGCGGGGGCAGGTCATTGTCAGACGGCCTCGGGACGATCAAAACAACGCAACTGAACTGAAGGAATGCCAGCTGAGTCACTTGGTTGTCCTGTTAAGCGACCCCTTTTGGAGTGGTTAACAGGGGAAGCACCCAAGGAACAACCACCATTTGAGTCGCAATCAAAAACCAGGGCAAGAGAAGGTCAGTAAGGGACGATCCCATCCAGAAATAGCTGCGGCCGCCTTCTTAGTGCTTTACATGGTTCGAGGAACTACCATTTTTGTACCGTGTTTTGATTGTGGCTCAGGTGTCTCTTCCCGCATCAGTGTGCATGCCAATCTACGCGGTATGTAGAGGTCATGTACTAGGAAGGGGGATCAATTTCGAATTCCATTTGTGGCTCAAGTTCAAGCACATGCACTGTACTCAGGGTGGGTTCACGGTTGTTTCTTGGTTGGCTTAGGCTGGTTTAGGGTTAGTTTTAAGGTTGGTCCAGGGTGGGTTTAGGGCTTAGGATTTAGGGTTGGATCATGGTGGGTCTAGGGCTGGTTTAGGTTTGACTCACGTCCCCGCATTCAAACATGAGCCGCGACAGGCGTTCAAAAAAGAGATGCTTCCCCATGTGCCACTACAGAGAACTTAGGGGGTCCTTGCCCCGTTTCTATGTGCAGACGTAGCGTAACTTTGCGACTCATCGATTCTTTGCAGGAGGCTGTTTGCTGCCCTTCACTCCATGAACTTCCCAGCTCCTTTGGTTCATGCGCCCTGGGCCATGAGTCAATGAGGCCAGGCCTTTGAAACGGCCTGCGTGGTTTGCAAACACCATGGCTCCCCCAACAGTGTAGAAGCCTCTTGGAACCGCCTTGACCAACTTGAGTTCCTCAAACAAGTTGGTCAATTCCAACTTCATCCTCCACGAGCGCTTCGATTTTCCTTGGCACCGGCATAAGGGATGACAAGTCCCCCAAAAACAAGGCCGGCCCCGGAGCGGGGTGCAATTGCAACATCTAGGTTCCTCAGTAGTGCCCTTTCCCACGCCCTTTTTTGGGCGAGGGTTTCCCCACTAAAAATAGACAAACAAGAAAAAAGTTGGTACCCTTATTCTAACCTCTCGGGACCTAGTGGTGTGACTGGGCTTTGGTCATCTCCCATTTGCTTAAAAGCATATGGTTTATTTCCCAATTGGCTTTAAAAGGGATTTATCACTCGACATGCTTTCGCCATCGCCAGGCCATGGCGGCCTTCATCGCCCCGGCGCGGACATTGCGGCCAACAGCGCGGCCGAGCTGGGCCGGTCCCGCGCCACACGTGCGCTCGGCCAGGCCTGGAACTTTGGATCGCCCAACTCCGAAGGATCGGGGCCTTATAGGGTAAATGCTGTGGATGGGAAAAGTGTGACCCAAGAAACCCCGAATTGATTCGATTTTTCTTTAAATACCAACAAAAATGGTGTCCCATGGTTTTCAAGTGGTGCGAACGGAGTTCGTCCATCCACTTGGTGGAATCTAGGCATGTGAGTCGACAAGGCCCCAGGCATCTACAGAAAACGGGCTGATGTGCTCAGGGTTTACGGCGACGGATCTGGGGGGAAAACGGGCTCACCATGGTTTTTACTTGGGGGGGGGATCCCTCCCCTTTTTCAGGTGTTGGACATATGGTCAAAAAGATGCATGTAAATTGACTGAGTGACGAAGACCTGCACAAAATCTAGCCAGCCCAACTGGAGATCAACCAGCTTACTCAAGATGTGTCGTGCCTTACGTGGGGGTTCCTGATGTCCGGTCTGTATGATTTGCCCAGAGAGGCCGCATGCGGACGTGAGCGCGTACCGCACCCCTCTGGCACTCGGCGTAGCTGCAGCGCTTCTGAAAAAAAATGTACGAGGCGCGAAGGGGGGAGTTGTCCTGAGGTATTTGTACCTTTTTATGGTATGGTATCTTGAGCATGATCTATATTTGGGGGGGGGGGTCAAGAGATTAGGCATGAAAGTGATTTACATGTCCCTACAATGACTTCCCTGTCGTGAGGTTGGCCAATCCCAAGATGTTTGCCCTGTCTATTGGTACACGGTATGAGGTTTTTGTTTTTCCTAGCGGCGGCTAAGCGGTTTCCGAAGAGCCGCCGAAGGCCCGGGGAAGAGATTTCAGCAGCCCAGGTGTTGGTAGACTTGGCGAAGTCGCTGGCTGAAAACCGATCCGAGAAACTGGAGGGTTGGGGCTTATCCCCTTACATTTTGTGAATTGGGGCGAACAAAAAAAGAGCCTTTTCACATCTTGAAGCATGGTACGGGGCTTGGACCATTTTAAAACCGGGGAGTTAATTATGACTCAGTTGCAACCAAAGCGACTCGGCCCAGACCGATCTTTCGGTTTTCACGGAAATCAAAACCCGAAGATGCAAAGGTTCGGCAGGAATCTCGCAAGGGGTTCTTGATCAAATGGTTCTCATCGACGAAGAACAGGGAATATCGAGGGAAGCAGCCGATCTCACGTGCAAAGGCGATGTTGGACAAGCTTGCACAAAGGACCTGGAAATACTTTTGGGTGAAAGTGGACCAATGGGAGAAACACCTCTATCAAATCCCTTAGTGATCCAAGGGCCCTGCGACGCAGTTCCTGGATGTGAGACTTTTTGGAGAGACAATAATTTGTGAGGCCGCATTTTGTTTCTACCGACCTGCTTTGGAGTAAAGTGATTTGCGACGGGCGCTGAATGTCCATGGCAAAACGCGCGCGCGCGCGCTCGAAAGCCGCGCCTTTTCCAGGACGGCAGCGGATTCCAAGGCGGAGCCTCTCGTCAGAGACGGATCCAGGGCCGTCTGTCAAAAAGGGGTTTGGTCAGGCTCTCCAGACTTCCTGTTAAAATCAAGCACCAACGAAAAGGCGGTTCCCAGCCATTCCCGGAAAGGGTTTTAGGTTTGTAGGGTTTCGTGGGTGGGGTTCCATGCCACTAGAAAGAAAACTGTTTGGGGATCTGAAAACGACAGCCCAGACAAAAAGGGTGTTCAGCTGGAAGCTTTGGGCTCGATAGTGCCGGGATGCGATGCCTCGTTCTTTTTTTTTTGCCACCTGTGGTTGCGCAGGGCTCCCCCTTGATTCCGGTTTTCTGTCCACTCAGCAGGTTAGACTTGAGTAAACTCAGCAGGTTCATGTTGCCCCGCGGACGAGAGATGGTCACAAGCAGGCCGAAACATGCTGCTTTGACGCCAGTTGCGGGACAGGTCCTGGGGAAAGCTTTTGATCGATGGGCAAACTTGGGCGGATTCCCTTTGGTGGGGAGATGCTTCACTTGGAGAATAAAAGGACAACTTTGAATAGACCCAAGACACAGCGAATCCGGCTACTTGGGCTGTTCAAAGGCAATATATTTCGAGGTCCCGTAGTGGTTTTCCAAGACTTATACGTAAAGACCCGCCAGCCTTGCGTACAGGGGTTGGGCGAGTGTCCAAGAAAGCAAGCTCCGATTTTGTCGCCGTGGCTCTCCCAAATCAAATTTCGGCAATTGAGATTTCGCCCCTCCAAAATCCGAAGCCTCGGATGTTAAAAGACAGGCGTCCAGTACCCTCTAAGAAAGGTATGTTCATTGAAGCAGTCTCGGGAAAAACTGACGCGTCCGCATGCGCGATAGCAGGGTGCTTTCGTTCCCCAACAGCTGAAAGCTCTCTGGGGTCTCAGCCCAGATAAGGTTTTAGGGGGCTCGGGGGAGCTCTGCATTCAGGTTCGAGCAAGGTTCCAGAGGTTCTGTGGTCTGGCGCCGGGCGAAAGGTTGAGGGGAGGTTCTGGGCGAGGCCAGGCGTAAGGCTCAAGCGGGGTCTGTGGTGTGCAAAGTTCAGGCAAGGTTCTGGAGGTTCTGGGCAAAAATGTGAAAGGCTTAAGTGCAGGCCAGGTGTAAGGTTCAAGGCAGGTTCTGGAGGTGCTTTGGTAGGCCAGGTGTCAGGCTCGAGGAACCGGGTGTGACCAAGGTGTAAGGTTCAAGCAAGGTTTCGGGATGGCAGCTTTGGAGTCAGGCGCGGTGCGCAAGCAAGGTTGCGCAGGTTCTAAGGTAAGCTTTTGCAGGGTTCGTTGGGTATATTTTGTATTTCTTACATGGTGTCCACTCCACGCACCCAAACCACTACTAGATCTTAGAGGTCAGATGATTTAAAACCGTACCACAGCCACTACGCAAAAGGTATAGCCCCATTTTTCGCTGGCGCCAGGTGCAAACCCAGATCCTTGGATACCAAAGCAAAGAAAGGGGATGTACGATAGCCATCCCGCCAGGAAAAATCAACATTCATTAGGACACCCCAGGACACAAAGCATGTTTTTGTTGACTCTTAAATTTCCTACCAGCTTTGTGGTTTGGATTGGTGTTTCTTTGATGAGGGGGATGTTTGGGGCGGTTTCCCATTTGCCCTCAACAAGAACGAGTTCAAATCCCAGCCATCCAAGCCACCGACTCGGGGCTACGTCATGCTCATATGTTTTTGTTTGCCCCACCCGAGGCGTCGAGACGCCCAGCTACAGCACACCCAAAGACGCCAAGGACTGAGAGCCTTTTGAGTTGCCCGCTGCCTCAAACAAGGTATTTTCGGACCCAAGTCACCTGGAACAGGGTTGCGGGAAGGAGCTTTTTCGGATAGCTTGTTGGATACCAAGAACCAGATGAGGAATTCGTCAGTGTGGCCTAGCGGGTCCGTATCCAAATTTGGGGAGGCCTCATTTCAAGGCCTTGGCACAGAGTCAAGTCCCGGAGGTTTCGGTGGGGCCACCTGCCCAACTGAAAGGCTTGCATTGGGATCCATTGCAGTGAAGACGCAGACGACATTCAACATAAGCAACCAAACCAAGGAACCAAGCAAGCAAGCAAGCAAGCAAGCAAGCAAGCAAGCAAGCAAGCAAGCAAGCAAGCAAGCAAGCAAGCAAGCAAGCAAGCAAGCACCAACCGACCAACCAAGCAGTGTCACAAAGTGCGGTACCTTGGGTTGCCAGGAGGCCATGTTTTTTGCCAAGAAGCTGGCGGAGGCTTTTGCTACTGGTGCCTTGGGGTGGTTGGGGTGGGGGTTGGGGTTGGGGTTGGGGTGGAGTGGGGTTGAAGGTTACCTACTATAGTTTTTGTTTCGACGTTGCGTTAAACTCTGCACCAGCGCTGCAGGACATCAAAGCAACAGTGGGTAATGTTTAATGTTAACCCTGGAAGGTCCTCCGGAAAATAACAAAAGAAAAGAAAAAACCTGATAGAAGCCACGAACCCGAATGCAGACACGAAAGCGGACTCTCTTGTGACATCTTGCGTCGCGACTCTAGTCACGTTTCTATAGTCGCGTCTCTGGTCACTTCTCTAGTCACGCCTTTGGTCACGTCATTTGTCACGTCTGTCGTAGCAACTCTGGCCACGTCTCTCGTCATGACTTTCGTCAAACCTTTCATCATGTGTCTCGCCGCGCCTCTCGTCACGACTCTGTCACGTCTCCCATCACGTCTTTCTTGGCGACTCCCGTCGTGTCTCTTGTCATGTGAGTCGTCACCCCTCGAGTCGCGTCTCCGGTCTTTCATCACGTGTCTCGCCGCGCCTGTCCTCACGACTCCGTCGCGTTTCCCGCCGCGTCTTTCTTGGCGACTCTCGTCACGTCTCTTGTCACGCATGAGTCGTCGGCCCTCGCGTCACGTCTCTTGTCACATCTCTCGTCACGTCTCTTATGACATTGATCGCCACGTAGAGTATCTGGCTCTTCCTCTTGTTTGTGTGTAGTCACGTCTCTGGTGGCATCTCAAGTCACGTCTCTGGTCATGCCCCTTGTCAGGTTTCTCGTAACAGCGTCTCTTGTCACGTTCTCTGGCACGTCTTTGGTCACGTCCTTTGTCGCGTCTCACGTAACAACGTTTCTTGTCACATCTATCGTCACGTAGCTAGTCACGCTTTTGGTCACGTCCCGCGGCAGGTCTCTGAATAGCAACTCTGGCCACGTCTCTCGTCATGACCTTCGTCACATCTTTCATCATCACATCTTTCATCAGTCATGACTTTCATCTTATCTTTCAGCACGTGTCTCGACGCGCCTCTGTTCACGACTATAGCATCTCCTGCCGCGTCTTTCTTGGAGATCCTGTCGCGTGCGTCGTCACCCCTCGCGTCACGTCTCTGCTCACGTCTCTTGTCACGACCCTCGCCACGTCTCTTCTCAAACGTCTCTTGTCATACTTGCCGTCCCGTCTCTGGTGACCTCTCGCGTCACGATCCTCGTCACGTCTCTTGTCGCATCTCTCGTCACGTCCCCGTCACGCCCTATCTCGCGTCTCGTCGCGACTCTCCTCGCACGTGTCTTGTCACATCCATCACATCCATCGCCACGCCTCTGGTCACGTCTTTGGCCACGTCCTTTGTCACGTCTGTCGCAACAACTCTGGCCACGTCTCTCGTCATGACTTTCATCTTATCTTTCATCACGTGTCTCGACGCGCCTCTCGTCACGACTGCGCAGCATGTCCCGTCGCGTCTTTCTTGGAGATCCTGTCGCGTGCGTCGTCACCCCTCGCGTCAGGTTTCTGGTCACGTCTCTTGTCACGACCCTCGTCACGTCTCTTCTCAAACGTCTCTGGTCATATTTGCCATCCCGTCTCTGGTAACCTCTCGCGTCACGATCCTCGTCACGCATCTTGCCGCATCTCTCGTCACGTCTCTCGTCACGGCTCTCCTCTTCTCACATCCATCGTCACACCTTTGGTCACAATCTCAAAATGTGAGCAGCGCCACAGCGAGAGCGATTCGACCCACCCAAAGCGCGAAGAGGGCTCACTTTGCGTGCTGAAAAGGTGCACCGCGCCACAGCGAGAGCAATTTAACCCACTCAAAGCGCGCAGAGGGTTCACTCTGTAATCTCCAAATGTGCACCGCGCCACAGCGAGAGCGACTCGACCCAAGTGCTGCGCCTGCCACGGAACCTGCACGCAAACTGGAAAGGGCTGCGCCTGCCACGAAATCTGCACGAAAAGCTCTAAAGTGGTGCGCCTGCCGCGAAATCTGCTCTAATGTTCTGCGCCTGTCACGAAAAATAAAATCACGTTACAACGCTCAAAATGTTGCGCCTGCCACGAAACCAGAATTTGACACTCTCGCATCGCACGCGGAAAAGCCACAATCCCGCACAGGGGCACGAAAAATGACACGCTTCAAGTCATCTAAATGGCACGTTTTTCGCTTTCCCCACTGGAGCTGCTCGCGGACAGATGCGAACGCTTGCGGACGCTGAAGCGAGCCACCCTGAGCCCTATGGTCAAATCACCTCCGAGGTTTGGAGCGATTCTGTTTTGTTTCACAAATGGCGGGTGTCCTTGGCTTCTCGACGGCGCAGTTGCTCAGCTCCAAGCCTTGGGGACGTTGTAACCCCCCAACCTCTAAACGGGAACCCTTTGGTAGTTTCCTGGCTTGACTGGATATTTGGGAATCGTTCCACTTATTGATGCAAAAGCCTAAAATTTCCAAAAAATCAACAAATGCAATTCTCACGGCGGTTAAAGCAAGCTGCGGTGTCAACGACCGCAAGTTTGTCAATCCACGCAACGGCGATCCAAAGATGTGGAAAGTCCGCAAGCCCCCACAAATGACATCATAAAAAAGGGTAGTTGATTTTGCATGGCCAATGTGCGACCGGAAAGGACGAAATTTGTATGCGGTTATGTTCAAATTCTAGCTAAAGCACTAGGGGTTTCCGACTCCAACACCCAGGCAAAACAAAACCGGAGTTGGAAGGCCCAGGACTTCGGAAAAAGTCGGGGGGGCCGTCCGAATCAGTTCTTCCTTTTTTAGTTTAGGACACCATTCTACATCAGGGGATCCTCTAACATAAGTAGGGTCTTCCGCATTCATCCGAAGTTGACATGTCGAAACAAGGAGTTGGCCCATCCCTGCTTCAATGCCAATGGCTCTTTTTCTCCCGGTAACTTCTTCAATTGGTGAACCAACAGCACGTGTTGCACGCGCGTTTCCTTTTTCCAATGGCCAATGAGCAACGTTGCCGGTGTTTGGATTGCAAGATTGAGTGTCCACTTGTTTGGTGCTGGATTGGCTGTTTGGATGTTGTTGATTTCCTGTTCAGCCTCAATAAGGACCAGCAATCAACCCACCAATCTAGGTCATCAAGTAAGGGTAGCCGGGTTTGACATAAACAAGGGTGTCCTTTTGGCTGCAATTCAACTCAGGGCCTGCCTTTGACTCATCGGCAGGAGAGGAATCCAAGGACCCAAATCGTGCGCCGATGTTCGCCTTTGGGAGCATGGCATGTTTTTTTCAGCGCTCGTGGCTTCCACAAGTGTTAACCTCTCATTTGCATTATAGCTTCTAGGTCCCCAGTAGTGCCCTTTTACCCTTTTTTTGGGGAGGGTTCCCCTACTAAAATAGAGTACAGAACAAAGTGGTACCCTTATTCTAACCCTCTCTACTGGAGGACCTAGTAGATGAAGAAAGGAGAAACCAAGAGGACCACCGCCTTTGCTTGGGAGGGCCCAGGTCCCTATACTGAGGAGATGCCTTGCTGCCCCTCGAGGACACCATGGGCCTTTTGGAGGACTCCATCACGTCTCTCTGGCGTCAAGCGTTTTTTTGGGGTGCCGGCGGGGTGCTGGGGGGGTGCCGGGGTGCCGGGGGTGGGGGGGGTCAAGGGGGGTCAAAGTGAACCAACCTAAATGGACATCCAATGGGCTGAGTCAATTTGACTCCGACAGGAAAGTGTATGCAGCCTTTCGGCCTTTTGAAGTCAACCAACCTGGAAAGGGCAAAACAAAGACCCACATCAATGCTGAAGCAACCTCTCTCCTAGGTTTCAAAGGAGCTAGGTCCCGACATTGCCCCTTTGGGGCAATTGGCTTTTGTTAAGCGTGCTTATGTGTAGGTTTTGATCGAGTCTCAATATCAATATCTTTTAAAGGGGGGTCAAGTTGAGGCGGTGATCTAATCTACCTTGGTGCGAGTTTCAACATTGGGTGGTGCAAGGTTGCAGTGTTGACTCAGTTTGCGGGGGGGGAGACGAGATACTACTTCAAACATCACTCTTGTACGTACTTTGGTAGGGTGAGATTGCGTTGTTATCTGAGGTTACAGTGGCTGGGATGTGCAAGTAGTCACGATGCTTCTTGTTCTCGAACTAGATTATGCCAATGTGGTCATTAAATGTTCGGCGCATCATGATCATGTCTTCCTGCTGCATAGGGTAACAGTCACATGCGAGGTGCATATGCTGGCATGCGGCAAAGTTTCTCAATTGCAAAGCTTGCTGGTTCGAAGTTCGCGGCAGGTAATCACCAATGGCTTCGGGACTGAACTGGAGGGGGTCCCCAAAAGGAGAGTTTTACGTGTGCCCAACGCCCTTTTGGGATGCCCCCAAGCAAAGGCCGCAGTCAACCCAACTGAACCCAAGTGAAGCCTTGGTCAAGGCGCAGGTTTCTCTGTTGTTTTCCTTTGGCGCTGGCAAGCCATTGTACCGTGGATGTGACAAACAATTTTTGCACCAGGGCTTGTCCCTGCGAGTCCTGAGGTTGCTGCAGAGCGAGCCAACTCTGGTGCGTATTGAGGCCGGGGATGTTGTGTTTGCTTGAGTTGCCTTCCGGTTCCGGCTCGAAACAAAAATGGCTTGGTGGGTGTAACGCAAATGATTGAGGCTGACTGGAGATAACGTGTTAGCTTGGAGAATTGAGTGCACTTCCAGTCTGCAGATTAACATGCCACCTGCAAAACCCACCCATTTCTAGAGGACACCTCCTTTGGGACATGGACCCCCTGTTGAATTTCCTTCCGTGAATTTCCTTCCGCGAGCGCGTCAGCGGCCTTTTTTCGGACAACGGCCAATCCACTGCCAGGTGCCTGCGGGGGGACATTTGAACGTGGTGGGGGACGTGCACGGCCAGCTCTGGGACTTCCTCAGCCCTTGGGATTGTTCGAGATGACGCCTTCGCAGGTCGATCCCTCAAAATGAAGACATGTGCTATTCGACTTTGGTGAACTCAATTGAGTTATTGGATTCTGGCAATGTCCTAAGACTCATTCCATCAGATGCTCAACCGGTTTGAGTTTCAGGGATTCCCAGAGAGATGCTTGTGGGCGTGGTTTGGATTGCAACACATGTGACAAAAGATCGAGCATTTACAGGGGCATGGATTTCTTAAAGTCAAGCAACACGCAAGTCACGCAAGTGTTTTTCTTTCAGCATGATTTGTGCCCCCGTCCATCCACTGGGTCTAGCTTAACGTGTCCTTAGTCTTCCGGTGGGGTTTCCTTGGACGGATGCTTTGGCCCACAGGTGAGTTTTTGAGCAGAAATCTCGGGACCTTCGTGTAGGGTTTCCAAAGGCTGCCCCCCAGTAGTACAGTAGTGCCCTTTTGCCTTTTTTGGAGGAGGGTTCCCCTACTACAGTAGACTACAGAAAGAAGTTGGTGCCCTTCTTCTAACCTCTCTACTGGAGGACCTAGTTGCACGTTCGATGGCAATCACCAGCCAATTCATGAACTTTTGATCTGGGGAATCCAGTTCCCCCTGGCTCGAGGCATCTTCGAGGAGAACGGTTGGCCCAGCGAGGAGAACCCCTACCTGTTCAACGGGGACTTTGTAGACCGAGGGTCCGGACACTCAAAAAACTAGAGGACGATTGGCCCGAAAGCATTTTTCCCCAAGCGCTTCCCATCATGTGCTTTTCCAGCCGCGGAGACGCCCTTTTACATCGATGCAACAGCTTCTGCAAAGCAGGCTCGTGCAACTTGGCCCTATGTAACTTGACTCTGTGTAACTTGGCTCTGTGCAACTTGGCTCTGTGTAACTTGGCTTTGTGCCACTTGGCTCTGTGCAACTTGGCTCTGTACAACTTGGCTCTATGCAACTTGGCTCTATGTAACTTGGCTCTATGTAACTCGGCTCTATGGTAACTTGGCTCTATGGTAACTTGGCTCTATGGTAACTTGGCTCTATGGTAACTTGGCTCTATGTCACTTGGCTCTATGTAACTTGGCTCTGTGCAAGTTGGCTCTGTGCAACTTGGCTCTGTGCAAGTGCTCTGAGCAAGTTGCTCTGCGCAAGTGCTCTGCGCCAGTTGCTCCATGCGAGCGCTTTGCGCATTGGCTCTGTGCAACTTGGTCTGTGCAAGTTGCTTTGCGCAAGTGCTGTGTGCAAGTGCTCTGTGCAATTCGCAGAGCGCAAGTTGCTCTGTGCAAGCGAATCTGCGCAAGTTGCTCTGCGCAAGTGCTGCCGGAGCTGTGGGAATGTACTTCGCGTACTATTTTTGTACTTGAAAGCTGCGGGAATGTGCTCCGCGTACTACGTTGTACTTACAAATTGCGATTTTTCAGCCGGAGCTGCAGGAGCACGCTCCGCGTACTACGTTGTACTTACAAAACATTGCGATTTTCAAGCCGGAGCTGCGGGGGTGTGCTCCGCGTACTACGTTTGCACTTAAAAGTTGCGATTTTCCAGCCTGAGCTGCGGGAGCACGCTCCGCGCACTACGTCTGTACTTAAAAGTTACGATTTTCCAGCCGGAGCTGCAGGAGCACGCTCCGCGTACTACGTTTGTACTTAAAAGCTGCGATTTTCAAGCCGGAGCTGCCGCGGACCAGGGGGGAATCGAACCCGCGACCGCGGGATTGCGAAAGCAGGCGCGCAAACCACGAGACAACTTCCAAAGGCCGTTTCGCGAGCAAGAATATTGCACGGCGCCACAGCGAGAGCGCTTCGACACGCACAATCTCCGCAGAGGGTTCGCCGAGACTAAGACAAATTCGCACGGCGCCACAGCGAGAGCGCTTCGTAAAAACAGTTTTTGAACCTCGACCACGCGAATCTCCGCAGAGGGTCGCGCGCGCATGCTAAAAATCGTAAAAAGTCCCCAGTTTTTGAACCTCGACCACGCGAATCTCCGCAGAGGGTCGCGCGCGCATCGCATCGTAAAAAGTCCCAGTTTTTGAACCTCGACCACGCGAATCTCCGCAGAGGGTCGCGCGCGCACCGCAGAAATCGTAAAAAGTCCGCAGTTTTTGAACCTCGGCCACGCGAATCTCCGCAGAGGGTCGCAATCCCGAGCGACGATCAAACTCCCGCCCCGGCGCCTTAGAAACCTAAACTAACTTACATAGCCCAAAGGAACACATTTGCAACAGGTCCAGTGCTGGATCACCAAAAACAAGGGGGAACATAACAACTCCCTAAACTCTGACATGGGACCCGCGAAAGGAAAGTGATCAAACCAAATTGGGTGGACAGATTGTTTTTGGTCGGGTTCCAAAATCTAGTTTTCTGTAACATTGACAATCCGTTTTTTCCGAAAGCATCGCGAAGGGTTCTTCCGTGCGGAGACCTTGGACAAGTTACATAGAGCCAAGTTACATAGAGCCAAGACAAGTTACATAGAGCCAAGTTACATAGAGCCAAGTTACACAGAGCCAAGTTACATAGAGCCAAGTTACATAGAGCCAAGTTACATAGAGCCAAGTTACATAGAGCCAAGTTACATAGAGCCAAGTTACATAGAGCCAAGTTATATAGAGCCAAGTTACATAGAGCCAAGTTACATAGAGCCAAGTTACATAGAGCCAAGTTACATAGAGCTAAGTTACATAGAGCCAAGTTACATAGAGCCAAGTCACACAGAGCCAAGCTACATAGAGCCAAGCTACATAGAGCCAAGTTGCATAGAGCCAAGTTACATAGAGCCAAGTTACATAGAGCCAAGTTACATAGAGCCAAGTTACATAGAGCCAAGTTACATAGAGCCAAGTTACATAGAGCCAAGCTACATAGAGCCAAGTTACATAGAGCCAAGTTACATAGAGCCAAGCTACATAGAGCCAAGTTACATAGAGCCAAGTTACATAGAGCCAAGTTACATAGAGCCAAGTTACATAGAGCCAAGTTACATAGAGCCAAGTTACATAGAGCCACGTTACATAGAGCCAAGTTACATAGAGCCAAGTTACATAGAGCCAAGTTACATAGAGCCAAGTTACATAGAGCCAAGTTACATAGAGCCAAGTTACATAGAGCCAAGTTACATAGAGCCAAGTTACATAGAGCCAAGTTACATAGAGCCAGGTTACATAGAGCCAAGTTACATAGAGCCAGGTTACATAGAGCCAAGTTACATAGAGCCAAGGTTAGGTAGAGCTTAGAGCTTCGGCGTTAGCAGGCATTCAGCAAATGGCCACTTCAAGCTCCCGCGCCTTCCCGTGCCTGTTACCAAAGCCTCTTTGCCACATGGTTCGTGGTTTTCAGCCGGGCAAAATAATTAGAAACATGCTTGTTTCCCATGGTCATGGCTATGGTCATGGCTTACTTTGGTTTTGGGGTCCCCCGCACCCCCACACCCCCACACCCCCCCCCCCCCCTCCCCATGCTATTATATGGCCACTCCAGTTGGTGGGTTGGATGGGTGGTGTGAGGAGATCAACATCTGCCCGGCTTGGGCCAAAGACTCCCCGAAAACCCCGAAACCGAAACCCCCAAGACTCAAACCCCTCAAACTTCCTCAAACCACTTTGCTTGAGGCTACTCCGAGATGCTTTTGTTTTTGCCAAAGGGCACCTTTTTAGCCGGAAGCCCTGATGCATCCTCAGGCTGTTTTGGCCGCCTCCTTTTCTTTTGCGAAGGAACGGGGTCCCGTTTCATCGCGTTTCATCGTGGTTTCCCGAAGGGCGCGCGGGTTTCTGCCAGGGAAAATACATGCTTTCCATCGGGGCGGCGCTTGTTGCGCCCTTTTGGGCGAAACAACCGTTTTGCGTGTTCCGATTTTTTGCTTTGTTTCATCCACTATGCAGAGATTTCCGAGATGTTCCACTTGGGGATTTCTCACAAATGGTTAAGTAATCAGGATGCTTGGTACACTTTTTCGTTATTTCCAGTGAAATCGTTGCGGAAGATCGCATTCTGAGCAAAAGAGCCCTGCGAGTTGTTCAGTGGCACCCTGAACAGCTTGTTGCTTTGGC